TGGACTCTCTCTCTCATTTCATTAAAAAATATCATATGTGTTTCAAAGATGAATGAAAGTCTTATGAATTGACATGATGGTGAGTAAATGATGACACAGTTTTCATTAATGGGTGTACATTTTAATCACTGGGACCATATTATCTACACACGCTGTTGAATAGGCCACTCCAGACTAACCTGTGCATTTTTGTTAATGGGTGAAGAGCCTCCTTTAAGCCCCTCTTGCCAGAGTCTTTTATCACTAAAGCATATTTTGGTGCAGTGTGATGTCTTGAACTCCATTAGGACTCTTTAAATTTCAGTTGACTCTTATGAAAATATTTTTAATAAAGTGACACCAGTTTTAGTTTTAGAATTTTTATCAAAGATACATTTTAAAAACCTCTTATAAAAGTCTGTCTATCATTATTTATATATTTATTTATTTTCCCCTTTTCTCGCCATGAATATAGCCGTGTTAGCTGGCATGGCGTTAAACTACAAACAAATCCACAGTCAGTAATGCATACAGAAATGAATCCACATGGAGAGAACTTTACAGCTCAAATATTATGCTGCTGAACAGAAGTATTCATATAAATTTGGTAACAAAAATACAAGCTGCACATTTCTGCTTTTAAATCCTCTAGTGCACTTGCTCCATAGACTTCCACTGTAAGTCCATTACTGTAAACATGATTTACAGAATAAAACCACTGTATTGTACCATTGTTTCATTTTTTTTTCTTGTTTTTACAGACAACAATGAAAATAATCTTCAGTGGTGATCCATATAGCTAAAATTGATAACTAATAACAATCTTATTGTGCATAATTCATTTATGCATGATTCATAATGTTATTTCAAAAGAAAAAAATGCCTTGATAATCTCTAATCATATTGTGGTAACCAGTGTTGGCGAAAGTTACTTTTACAATATTGCATTACTCTATAAAAAATAACTAATTGCATTACTTTTTATGGAGAGTAATGTGTTATGTTACTTTTGCATTACTTTTTGTCCCTTGGGCTGGGCTTGCTTATTTGTTTTTTGATAACAAAAACCCAAAAGTTATATTTTCTACAATCCTTTCACACCAAAAGTGAAATGAATAAGCCTCAGGCTGAAGGAAGTGCCTCTGCAACTCACTCCCAGCGAATAAATGGGAAAACAAAGTAACTTGCATTACTTATTTGAAAATGTAACTCAGATTTTGTTTTAAATAATGGTACTTTACTAGTTACTTGAAAAAAGTAATCTGATTACATAACTCAAATTACTTGTAATGTATTCCCCCTAACACTGGTGGAAACTTTCTCCTGTGTCATGTTCATTTGTTGAACAACTTCACAAATCACACTTATCTTTGAACCACCAGGCTCTATTATGGCATGTAACGCCCCTTTTCTACAATCAAGTCCATTTCTGATGGATAAAATCGTCTTGTTGAATATGCTTTTTCACTTTGTCAGATTAGTTTAAAAAAGGGCATTTCATTTATTAAACATTACTGAGTAATAAAGCCTGTAAAAACACATGCATGCCCGCCACATTAGGACTAGTAGGAGAACATACCAATTGTCCCGCTTTGAGAGTTTGCAGTAGCAGCATTAAAGCGAGGCAGAAGCGCTTCTTGTGAATGATATTCTGTCCGTATCTCTGTGAAGGCTGCTCTACCTGCCCTTGACCCTGACCTCTCTACGACTCAAAGCTCTCTGGCTGTCAGAGAACCAGTCTCAACCACTGCTCACCTTCCAGACGGATGTGGACCCCGAGTCTGGAGACAAGGTCCTGACCTGTGTACTGTTGCCTCAGCAGCCCTGTGAATCGGAAAACAAAGGTAAAGCTCTGATGTGTGTATGACACTTAAAAGATCCTGTAAGCTGTTTTTCATGAAATAGTGTGCAGGAAATGTCACCTCTACCTGACATATGTGAATGTGTGTTGAGAAAGCACACCGTCTCTGTGGCAGCCCCGAAGAATCTGATTTCAGGACATAAGAGGACCTGTCGCTCTCTTCCTGTCGGATGTTCTGGGCTTCTGGGTTTGCTGACTGTTTTTGATGACTGGGGGGTTTTGTAGACTAGAGGGGGTCAGATGTGGCAGAAGTTAGCGATACTGCTTACAGACGTATGTAGGAGCCTATCCTACTAAGAATGGTAAGATTGGCCTATTAATGTAAACATTGCATTAAAAGATGAAATGAAAATAATAAAAAAGCAAAGAAACATATTACAGGAACAAGTGGCGGGTCTAATGTTAATGTTCAATGTCAAACATGGCAAATTCAGATTCAGTCCCACATTTTCATGTGGTCGTCACTCCTGAAACTTTGCATTGCGTACTTGGCAGCATGAAAAATAAAAGTTTTATTCAATTTATGAATGGGTTATATAAGGAAAGCGAGCACAGAGTGCCCCCTTTATAATCGATGAAGCTGATATCACTTCACCCGCAGGGCAGACTTATTGACTGATCAGTAGACCTCATGTAGCTCCGCCCTTTTTCAGCGCTGCGTTCGTTGTCTTCTGTCTTCTGTTTGTATTTACACAGCGTGAAGATAAGGTTGTATGAATTTATGAATGAACTACTCGTTTTAAAAACTTCCTGGTCTACTGACATTTATGACATCTGCTTCAAACATTGCAATGCACGTGATTTAATTAACTCTACGATAAGAAAATCCACTTCACCAGCTAATGACTCTTCAACAGTGATGCTATACCGCCACTGCAAAAACTGAAGTTCAAAGACAAAATTCTAAAGGTGGCTGTGCACTTGATTCTCTGGAGCATAGGGCTGCGCAATGAATCTCTTATTTGCGTTGTGTTTGGAAAGTTTGAAAACATTATTATTCTTAATTTATTTAATCAAAAGTTTAGAGTCAAAACTATGGAAGTCCTAAGAGGCCATGGATTATTAGTTTTTTTTCTTGTTTTGTCGTGATCACAACCTAATTATCTCGTGATCTTAACATAAGTCATTTTCTCGTGATCACAACATAACGAAAGTTGTTTTCTCGTTATCACGACATAATATTTTCTCGTGATCTCGACATAACGAAAGTTGTTGTCTCCTTATCACATTTTCTCGTGATCACGACAATGAAAGTTGTTGTCTCGTTATCACGACATAATATTTTCTCGTGATCTCGACATAACGAAAGTTGTTTTCTCATTATCACTTATTTTTCTCGTGATCTCGACATAACGAAAGTTGTCTCGTTATCATTACATATTTTCTCGTGATCTTGACATAACGAAAGTTGTCTCGTTATCATTACATATTTTCTCGTGATCTTGACATAACGAAAGTTGTTTTCTCGTGATCACGACTTAATTTTCTCGTGATCTCGACATAACGATAGTTGTTCTCTAATTACTGCACCAACAGGTGGCAGTATAGATAGAACTGATGGGGTGTATAGGCCTACTGTATATCCACTTTACTGTATGCGTTTGGGACAGAATAAAGACCTTCTTCGTGATCGATAATTTGTGCAGTATTGTTCATAACTGACATTTAATTAATTCATAAATGTTAAATGCTTGAATCAATATGATTATTTTGGGTATCGTTAAGTTCTTGCTAGATGCATCACAGTTTCCGCGTTCCCTGTCATAAACTAACTGCTTATTAAAAACCAAGGTTGACGTCACTGTATTTCCATCTTTATTTGTGCATCTTTGAAGTAGGGTACATGATTGTTAGTTAATAAGCAGAGATGTAGTGTTTATCTATGACGTGCTTCAACGACGTATTTGTAATGTGCCTCTTTTCCTTATTTTTAATCTTTATTGTTAATCATTAAATGTATATTGTTAAGAAATGTGATTTACATGTAAAGTGTATAGGCTAATTTAATTCAATGCTGTTCTACAGTGTTGTAATCTATTGTATTTTCTACATTTCTTTGTGGAAACCTCTCTCTCTCTCTCTCACACACACACACACACACAAACACTATTTTCAAACAGCATCCCAAGCTTGTAACGCACATGATATCAGTCACACCATATCCATTTTTAATCTTTATTGTTAATCATTAAATGTATATTGTTAAGAAATGTGATTTACATGTAAAGTGTATAGGCTAATTTAATTCAATGCTGTTCTACAGTGTTGTAATCTATTGTATTTTCTACATTTCTTTGTGGAAACCTCTCTCTCTCTCTCTCACACACACACACACACACAAACACTATTTTCAAACAGCATCCCAAGCTTGTAACGCACATGATATCAGTCACACCATATCCTACATGACTACTAAACATTACAAATTATTAGGGCTGCCACTAACGACTTTTCATTTCGATTAATCTATCGACTAATTTATCGATTAATTGTTTAATCTAAATGATTAATTTCCCACAAAAAATCATCAATTTTAATTAAGAATATTTTATTCAACTATATTTTATTAAACCAAATGAAATTCAAATGTCTATGAAATCCTTGTTTTAAAGCAAAAGTAAAGTGCAACATAGGAGTGCAAGAGGCAAGTGTCCATCTCATAGTCCAAATCACTGAAATCAAAGCTCAGTATTATAGTGTAAGAATGATAACATATCCACGTGTTCTAGTCTACTAATAATAAAATTATAATCAAAAAACGGGTTTAATATATCATGCAGCCTTGGGAAACAGTCTAATAATGTGTTTTATGGATTCTCGTCCGTGAAATGCGCCACTTCCGGTATTTTGCCGGTTAGTCGTCGCAAGCAAAATTAAGTCGATGATTTTTAAAAATCGAATAGTCTAATAAAATTGACGAATCGTGACAGCCCTACAAATTATATATAATTTTATTTCAAATAAAAGGAAAATAAAGTGAGTTGAATCCAAGCAGCTGTAAAAGATTTTAGAATAGTTCTCTGCATCCTTCTGAAGGTGCTCCACCTGTGTTTGCGGTGTTGCTTTTACCATTTAAACATGTGAATTACACAAACAAAATATTTAGCCTACTGTCTCTGAAAATATCAACAGTGATTGATTAGCCTTTATTTAAGTATTGTAGACGTTATTACTAAGCGAAGCAAAATTTGCTGAAATATCCACAACATACAGTAAGAGCGCATGGTTTATCTGTTGATCAGATGCGTCAAAGCTGCGTTCATTACTAAAGCAACAGTAGATCAAACAATCATTATAAAAAAAAAACCAACTTTCATTATGTCATGATCATGAGAAAATTAAGTCGTAATAACGAGAAAACAACTTTCGTTATGTCGTGATCACGAGAAAATTAAGTCGTGATAACGAGAAAACAACTTTCGTTATGTCGTGATCACGAGAAAATTAAGTGATGATAACGAGAAAACAACTTTTGTTATGTCGAGATCACGAGATAATTAAGTCGTGATAACGAGAAAACAACTTTTGTTATGTCATGATCACGAGAAAATTAAGTCGTTATAATGAGAAAACAACTTTCGTTATGTCGTGATCACGAGAAAACAAGAAAGAAAAGTATTAATAATCCATGGCCTTTTAGGACTTCCGTACAAAACAGTGATAGTGTGAAATATTTTCTATTTTAAAATGTAATTTATTCCTGTGATGCAAAGCTGAATTTTTTAGCATCATTACGCCAGTCTTCAGAAATCATACCCACTATAGTAAATAATAGAACTTGTATATAGAGGTTAGCTAATCCTAACCACATACAGTAGAACATAATATTTTAACCATATTATAGTGAGATCAAGGTCATAAAAAAACTTAATTAAGAAACTTTGACTAAGATTAGTGGACTCAGGGAGGGAAATGTTAAATGCAGAATCTGCCCTTTAAATGTGTTCCATCCCAAACAACACTATATCACTTTCGAGGCATAGACAGACTGTCAGCACTTGCATCACGATTCTGCAGAGTATATCTGCAAGGAGATTCTACCCATAATCTGATTATTTTTTGGGTGTAATATTCTGATAACATCCTGTATCTGCTCTGCTTTAATCTTGCGGCGGTCCTGTGGGATTTATCAGGCGCTCAGCACACCCGTATGATTCGATCAGACTTTGTGATGTGTATGTTGAGTTGAGGGAACGTATAGGTAGCAGCGCTTGTACAGATCAGGTCTTGAGATGCCGGAGTTTCCTCTGGCCTCTGTCCACACTCATGTGCTGCTTTCTACATGCTGCCAGCGGATTGGACGGCTAAAGAGGCTTATCTCCTCTGAGCTCCGCTTGGCCTCAGATGTTGCCACACACGCCTCCTCCCACAACCGTGTCTTATCCTAAAGACCATTGAAGCTTTTATTTTGTGGAGTCTTAAACTTCTCTTTCATTGATGAAACTCGGGGTCAATGTGAAAAATACAGTAGTTCTAAGAGAGTTTATAAGTTTGTTATACATATTTTTGATGAAAAATACAGTAAAACAGTAATATTGTGAAATATTAATGCAATTTAAAATAACTTTTTCTCTGTTAGTGTTATTTTCAAATTGGAACAGTTTTTTTCTTGTGATGGAAAACTCTGAATTTTCAGCATCATTACTCCAGTCTTTAGTGTCACATGATCCTTCAGAAATCATTCTGATATGCTGATTTGCTAATCAAGAAACATTTATATTTATTTCAAGATTTGTATCAAGAAACATTGTCGTAATTATTATTATCAGTGTTGAAAACAGTTTTGGCTGTTTTGTGTTTGTTTGTGATACACTTCCAGATTCTTAAAGGAAAAAATAAATAATTAATTAATATAATAAAAATAATAATTATTTTTATTTTTATTCAGCAAGGATCTCTAAAATTGATCAAAAGTGACAGTGAAGACATGTATAATGTTTTTTAAAAAATATTTCAATTTCAAATAAATGCTTTTCATTGAACTTTTTATGCATGAAAGAATCCTGAAAAAAAAACTGCATCACAGTTTCCACAAAAATATTATGCAGTAAAAACTGTTTTCAAGATTGATAATAAGAGCCCTTATTAATAGTTGAGCACTAAATCAATATATGTTGTAACCATAATGTTTCTTTCGGGTTTGCTGATATCATGTCACAGAATGACTCTTAAATCTTTGTTTAGTCATTTAATTGTGACATCACTTCCTCAAGAGCTGATATGTTTGGGTGTGTCGGGTCACGCTGGGTGGGACGGGGCGAGTGAGGGGAGATTGTTTCTCTGTAAGCCTGTGACTAAGACGGGATTTGAAACGGTGATCTCACAGCCCTTTTACTTGGAATAAAAACTCCTCCGCATGCTTTTCTAAAAAACTACAGTAAATGCAATAAATAAGGGATAAGGGAATATGTTTAACCCATGTGTTTAAAAGAACAATCTATGTATATGCTGTGTAGGTTCTGATAACCTCGCCCGCTGTGGTGCTCTGGAGAGTCTGGTGGAGAGCAGCGTGCTGGATGACACCTGGGACGACAAAGCCCCAAACAGAATGAGCACCATTCGTTTCATGGAGGACGATGAGGATGAGGATGACGAAGAGGTGAGGAAGGAGGCTCTGCTAAATGTATTATACACTAGTCAACATTTGAAGTGGATCAAAACCTTTCACCAAAGTTGTCCTGAAACCTAAAACCAAAATGTGAAATGTGTTCTTGTCTTAGGACAACTTTGATGCACTTTTTTGATCCACTTCAAATGTTGACTACTGTATGGTATTTTGAAAGTGATATCGAGTGCCTATTTTAGCAGAGGTTGTGGTTTTTAGACCTTGTCTGTATGTTTATAGATGACCTCCACCTAACCTTTAACAGATACACACCTTATGAGTGATATTTTTTTCCTAATAAAGTTCTCACTGAAATTAAAAAGCCCTCCTTAGATTATGAATGGATTACTTGTCATCAACTATCAATAGCTAGTGGAAAACCATGGGCTTAATACTGCGCAGGATACACTTATACTGTATGCTTCCTTCAATTTTTTTTAAATAGTGTGCGAAACAGTTGGCCTGTCCCAATGCCCAAACTTGCACTTGTCTATTTGCATGCTGTATTTCAAGTTTTCAAGTGGATGTGAAGACCGCGAGGCTTTGCTTACTCAGTGGGACACACCTACAGCATAGAGTTGTAAAAATGTATTTACAATAAACCTATAAATGTTGTTCTTTATCCATCAGAAATATGTCTCAATGTTTCATGGGGCATCTTAAAATGCTTTGAAGGGTGTCGTAACTAGGGATGCACCGAAATGAAAATTCTTGGCCGAAACCGAACAAAATGAAACACTGGGCCGAATACCGAACACAGTTTTTCGAGTTTTTTTCCCCCATGTATTTTGCCAATTTTAAAAAATACAAAAATATTTAACACTGAAAATTTTTTAACATTCTAGCAGACACTATACCAACAAAGCACAATTTAACTTAAAATTAATAAGTTAGTAAAATAATATTTTTTGGCCATCAGACCCCCTTCTTGAATCAGGCATGTATTTTTTACTGTACAATTTTCACCATTGCACAAATGAAATAGCCAAAATGTACTTTTACTATTTTGTCTTGCTTTTCAAAGAAAAAATCAATTACAAAACATAAATTTAAAAATATTTAACACTGAACATTTTTTAACATTCTAGCAGACACTATACCAACAAAGCACAATTTAACTTAAAATTAATAAGTTAGTAAAATAATATTTTTTGGCCATCAGACCCCCTTCTTGAATCAGGCATGTATTTTTTACTATACAAATAAAAGCAGCCTTGCTGAGCAGAAGAGGCTTCTTTCAAAAACCATATGTTGAGTGTATGAACATGTTCATTGGTAATTATACTTTTTATTTTATTTTACAGAACAACAGTAAAATTACAATACTAACACTTATGAATGTTGATGGAGTTCTTGCTTTTTCTCAACCTCGACCTCAATGCTTCTTTTTGTTGACAGCAGATGTATAAATGAGTCTCAGTACGAATGCGTAGCACGTATCGCATTGTCACGTGCCTTGTCAAAATTCATAAAAATGTGACTGAGCAACTGACGAGTAACAGTGTTTCAGTGCAGATTTTCCTCGGGCTTTGGACTTTGAACCCTGGTTAACAAGCAGATCCGCTGCGAGCTCGTGCAGTGCTGTCAATGCGTGCGGGTATTATAAAACATAACGTTCTGCAGTTTATTTACTAATTGTTTAAGGCCATTTCGGGATTTCAATCATCATACAGTAAAAAGCAACAATCACCCCTTCCTCTTCTCATCGAAGACATGCGTTGCAGTCCTAAACAGTCTCTCGCTGTCGGTGCTTGTAATGATTTTTGCGTCTTTCTCGGACACTTTTAAATGCTTCCACACTGCTGACATATTTGTTGCGTTGCGCCTCTCACTCTACGCTGGTTGCTATTTGATCGCGTCACATCATTGTTCGGTACAGTTTATTCAGTCTTTTCGCTTATTCTATTTTTGGCCGAATAATTTCGGTTGCCGAACATTCGGTGCATCCCTAGTTGTAACGGGAAATGGTGAATTGAATGGCCTCCTCCACCGTTCTTTTTCTTTCTGTTTCTCAGAGAACACTGTTGCGGCGGGCCACGCCACACCCCGGCGAGCTGAAGAACATGAAGAAGGTGGCCGAGAGCATCCGAAAGGACATGAACGCCGCCAAAGGCCTGGATTCCAACAAAAACGAGGTCAATAACGCTGTGGACCGAGTGACCACGTCTGTGTGACCGCTTTTACTCCGAGATGTCTCTTACCCAGTGTGTCTCTCCCTGAAGCCCCCGCAGAGCCATTCCTCAGTTTTCTGATCACCCTTTTGCTGTCCTGGGACCACCAGAGCCCTTTTTCCAGCCCTGCTAACTTCATCTGCTCCTGCCCTGTGTCAGGGACGAGTCCTCACCACACGGTGCCTTCTTTTCTAAAGACCTCCAGAGCAATAACCTGCAAGGGAATGCACATTTTTACCAGTGCTTTTCTTTGACACACAAAATAAGTCTTAGCATCAATCTGTCGGAATCTTTAATATAGAAATACGAACTATATGCTCTATTTTTTTATACACTGGGTGCATTTCTTTCTTTTGGTGATACATGGAGCCCAGGCATTTTTGGACCTGCTGATTTTAAAAATGATTGAATAGTTGCTTGTGAATATTGACACTTATATATGTGTGGCAGCTCAGGTGGTGTGATTTTTAAAAACAACAGCAACAAAAAAGATGTGTAGCCAGTTTCTTAATCAGTGAACTTTCCCATCACTTGGACTTCATTTCAGGATTCAAAAGCATTCGAACAAAGTGGCAGATTTTTTTGTCATACATGGTTAATTCTTATCTGAACATGAGGGGGCAGCTTTGTATTTCATTGTCAGGCTTCTTCATAACCCATGCAGTTTTCATTGTGTGTAAAGGACATGTTAATAAAAGGGCTAATGCGGTTAGGGACCATGAGCTGAAACACTCCGACATGTGGACTGAAGAGAGTTAATGCTGTCCGACAGACCGGCACTGTGCTTTACTACGCTAAAATTAATTTAGTAACCTGACTTCTGCTGCAGTTCAAATGTGCTTCCAGATTTTTTTTAAAAGCAGGTAGAATAAAACTCTTTTGTAATTGAGGTAAGGGGAGTTAGTTCTTGTCTTTTGCTTTGGTTTAGGTGAGCAGTTTTTCCCTCCAAGTGCCAGAATGCACTTTTACAAGCAATGCTATCAATTTTTTTTTATTTTTTTTTTTAAATATATGTATATGGTACACTACGGACTTCATTTTACATTGTATGTTTTCATTTGTATTCCAAGAAAGACATGGTTTTTAATGTTGATTTTTATTTTTTAATTATTTCTTGTAAATGAAGCTGCACAGAAAACAATCGTAAGCAGGCGCTGTTTCTGGGCCAATACGATTATGACTTTAACCACTGAAATAATAAAATGATTTCCTGAAAGCAAAGGTTATGGTTCATTATTTATACAGAGATTTAATATTAAACAAAAATCGTACAGATGTCTTGCCACTGATTTTGTTCGTTTTGCAATAATGTTAAAGGAATAGTTCAGCCAAAAATGAAACCTGTATGCTGTTATTTCTTTTTTTTTCTTCTTTTTTTTTCTGTGACTCACTGATTTATTATCTGAAGCTTCAGCCCGTTGTTTGTCCACCCTTGCTTGTTTTCTCCCACTCAGCTATACCTCACTGTTTCCTTTGCTCGCATATGTGGCTTTTTCTTTATTGAACACTGAGTTGAAGATTTTGTTGTGTGCTGAACATTTATAAATGATTTTTATCAATATATAATCTCCATTCCAAAATGATTGTAATATTCAGACAAATAGTTAATTCTGTTACTGAAACACTGGAATGCATATTGTATGCTGTATATAAATAGAGATGTATGGGCTGTACATATGGAACAAGATTTGGAGGTTGGTTTATAATACAACAAGAACACTGGTAATGACTTTCTCTTTCAAATACATGCTGCATTCTTGAAACGTCTTTCATTGTAGAATCCTCACATCTGGTTCTCCAGCTAGAGACTGTCATGTGCTTGTCTTCTTGCTGTTGTGCCGCAGGGTGCTGGTTAGATTTTCTTTCTTTTCTTCCCAAAACAGAACTGCGTGGACTAGTTCATTCTCTCCCTCTCCCTCTCCCTCTCCCTCTCTCTCTCCCTCTCCCTCCCTCGCTCTCTCTCCCTCTCTCTCTCCCTCCTTCTCTCTCTCCCTCTCTCTCTCTCTCTCAGAGGAAGATGCTCTCTTTAAGAACCGAGTGCATTTTCTGCTAAATTCTTAAATATTTACAGACAAAGTTTAGCAGGTAGAGGATGATTAATGAAATAAGAAATTAATAGAAATAATATGAATATATAATATTCATGTCATTTTAATGATGTATTTTAATTTTGCAATAATGTAAAATACTAAATCAAATATTCTATGTATGTATTTAGACTATTTAGATAAATACGGCTATGTCAGATAACATAATCCCAGTCTGAATTACACGATATAGTTCTATGAGCTGATTAAACTCTTCCTGAATTGATGGGATATCATAATATGGTTATATGATTCCAACTGATGTTATGATGAAGAATGAATATATTTGAAATGTGCATTTAAGTTGTGTAATAATTCAATACGGAATCTCTGAATTATAATTATTAAAACAGTTCAGAGATTAATGATTAAGATTAAAAATTTATAAATAAGATTGAGATGAGATTTAAATATGGGGAATTTTAAAAATGGGTAAAATCATTAGACTCCAGTCATATCAGCATGAAAGCGGTTTTGTTTTGCACAGAGCAGTTTGAGCTGTTATGGTAAAGACTGCAATTTCTGTAAAGTCCAAGACGAACAGCATAACAAACAAAATGCTCACACGATCACTCAGCACTGAACAAATGTTGGAGAAGACTTATAATGGGGGTTTTCACATTTTTTTTTTTTTAATGATCCACGTGTCTGGATCTCAGTGATGAAGTTATGATATAGTTTTAGCATCAAGTACCAGATGATAGTGGTCTGCTGCATCGTCTGAAAATCAGTACCTAACTGGGGGGGGAAAAAAAAAATATATATATATATATATATATATATAAAGTGTTAAATTGGGTATCGATTATTACTGTTGCAAATGGATGCATGATATATTAGATTTTAAGCAATTCATAATTCTGTTTATATGACCATTCAGAAATGCATGGTGGGAGTATGAACATAAGATTCATCTGTACCATGTAGAAAAACATGTTTTCTAGCGGCATGCTATTAATTAGAAATGTCACAAATCCTTGCAAGTCTGTTTGAGTGCTCAGACATTGTGCTTGTCATGTTTCTTCATCCACTTTAGTGAAACAGCTGCAGTCTCAATAAAGTTTAATTGGCCAGTAATGGTGGAGATTGAGTGCTTTCTGGTCGCTAAGGTAACCTGATCAGTTGGACTGTAGACAAAAACAAGTGATGTTTCTTAGAAAGGAAATTAAATCAATCAAAAGGCCCCTCGAGGCTGGACGTTATGGTGATTTTATCAGAGGAAGGGGTGTTATAAGGTGAAGGCAATATGATAAAAGACACCAAATTTAATTAGTTTGTTTATGAATGATAATAATCGAAAAAATATTCACATGCAAAGGGTCACAGATACAGTCCAAACTGAATTACTATTATTACTAAAACATTTAACTCTTCAATATGTTGGCTATTATTCTACTAGACCAAAGTTTCTTTCTTTCTTTCTTTATTTCTTTCACTAGCAAACATGGGCGGTGTTTCCGTATGGCAGAGTAAGGCAGTTGCCATACTCTAGCTAGCTACTAGCTTAGGACATACTAGTAATGTGCTGAAACGGGTTATAAGCATGCTAAAACATGCTAGCAAAGTGTTAAAACATGCTAGAAACATATTAACAACATGCTCAAACATGCCAGCATGGTTCCTCTGATTTTATGAGGTCTAATTGGATCTGCAAAGGTTTAGCAATGAGCTTACAACATGCCGGCAAACTGTTGAAATTTATTAGAAGCATGTTAGCAACATGCTAAAACATTCCAGCATGGTTTCTAATTTGGGTCTGAAAAGGTTATTGATTTCAGTTTCATCTGAATTTCTGTTATAATTTCATGCCAGACATTGTCAAGCCAAGTTTGTCCTCAAACTTTACTCATCTAGTTGAACATTGATGTCTTTTATCATCTTGCTGGTGATGTTATATATATATGTGTGTGTATATATATATATATATATATATACACACATACATATACAAACATTCAGTTTTAGCTTTTTAATGAGATATGTACACTTCAGTTTCAATCTTACAGTTTGTGTAAAGGTGATATTTTTAACAAGCAAACAGCTGAGAGTATTTCGTCACTTCTGTTCTTGTTTGATCTACAGCGGAGCAGAGCTGCTAAAACCTCTGTGAATAACAGCAGCCACGGCTGGCTCATTCCCGGTCTGCGCTGGGTCACAGGGAAGGACTGTCTGCCAGGACTCAACTTGTTTCCTCTCACTGGTGGACATGGCCGCAGCTCCAGCCCGGAGAAAGACGCAGAGGAGATGGAAGAGCCGTCTGATGATGTAAGACCAGCATGTTTATGTCTGTTTCAAAGGTACGCTTTAACAACTTTGGCTTGAGCAAATCTAAATTGTATCATTATTTACTCATCTTCATGCCATTATGCTGTTATTTTCCCTGTGGAAATATATTCCTTAACATTTTCCCCCAAACAATTCATGGGTACAACAGAAAATGGGCTAGACACTCACAATCAAGCACTGTGGTGGTACCGTGGTACAGCCGTCTTATAGTAATACCATGGTACTTTATGATACTGGATGAATACCATACTCATTTACAATGATATTCAAAGAAACATGTAGCAATACCATGACAATTGAAAACACTTTTCTCCCTCAGTACAGCTTAGGTCATTTCTCAGAGCTGGAGGCAGCGGGCCGCAGACTTAAGCTTCAGTGGGGAGAAAACGGCCCTGACAGGAAGCTTCAGAGATACAGAACTCAGCGCCTGGCGACCCATCTCCACCGAGACACGACCCACGACCCAGAGTGCCACACTAGTTCAGAGAGGCTCAGCCATCCGGCTGTGTCCGAACGGCCCTGTTCCCCCAAATCAGTCGTTTCACACGTGCCATTAAGAGTAAGAATACAGACAGCTAATGTTGTTAAAGAGCGGCATCTCTATTCTGTGCACGCACACACAGGGGCATCATGCACCAGAGATTTTGAGGGGGCGTCAGTGGCAGTTGGCACCACTTCTGTGAGTCATATAGTCTAGTGGGGTTTCGTTCAAATCCTGATAGATAATAATCGGTAGAAATCACGATCGACTCCCATCGGTAGAAATTACGTTCCGCGGGGGCCCCCCTAGACCACGGGGCCCCACGCAATTGCATGGGCTGTGTGGTGCCTAAACACGCTACTGGCATTTTCATTTATAGAAAACAGTGGAACTGACTTTTTGATAACAATGGGAAAAGCCCAACCCTAAATAAAAATAACTGTTATTACTTATACAATACAATACAAATTTATTTATATAGCACAATTTAAAAACAACCGAAGTTGACCAAAGTAGTTTAAAAAACTATACAAACAATGACCAATTTTAAAACACACAGCAACAATAAATACAATTATAAAACACCATAAAACACAAGCTGTAAACATGGGCGAATTTCCTGAGAACAGAATCATAAAACAATAGATCAAGGAATATTAAACGCCAGAGAAAATAAATAGGTCTTAAGAGTGGACTTAAAAACAGACAAGGTCGGGGCAGTTCTAATGTGAGACGGGAGACTATTCCATAATTTTGGGCCAACAACAGAAAAAGCAAGGTCACCTCTGGTTTTAGTCTTGTCCTAGGCCTGATTTCACAGTCAGGGCTTAGATTAAGCCAGTATTAGGCCATAGTGCAGTTAGGGCATTTAAGTAACTTTTATAAATGAGCCTTAGACAAAAACATTACTGGTATGCATCTTGAGACAAAACAATGGTTTCTTTCAGTTAAAACAGCTCAGACATGCATCGAATCTGGGACTAGACTTAAGCCTTGTCTGTGAAACCGGGGAATAATATAACTTTACTTAAGCTTTCACTGTAATAATTACTGCAGTGTCTTCAAAACCAATTATATAATTTTGAACCGAAGTGAAAACATACATTATTAATGCCATTTCCAAATTATTAAGAATAGTCCTGCATCAATTCAGTCTTCCACTTATTTTGTAAACAAATTAAATGGACACAGCAGGACTAAACTGCACCTGCTATACAGATTCTGTAGTGCATAATTTTCACAAAAATCTGACATTTAAATGGATTTAAACTACATATCTCATTAAATGCTAAAACTTTTCAGCGTTGTGTTGACAAATTAATATTTTAGACAGATCCACCACACACAAAAACTCCTTGATTCTGCATGAATCACATAGGCTAAACGACATGTTTTGACTTCAAAATTAACCAAGAGGTGACAACTTTGGGTAACTAATAGTTTTAAAGAGTGGCCTGTCTAAAAACAATCTTTTAACTAAAACCACCAATATTTGTTTAACACTTGATATCCAGAGGCAACGTATTAAACTCTTGTAGTCCTGTGTATTCAAAAGACCTCTGGCCATACACAGTCTTAAAACGACATGGAGTAAAAGCCATAAGACTCTGCCTTGTATTATAACAATGTTTTACATTAACCATTGGAAAATAAGTATTAAAATGGCTTTTTTGATTAATTATCCTATGTGCCATTTTAAGCACTTTGACAACCAGCCGAGATGTCGAAATGGGTATCATCTACATGAGGAAAACAATGAATTCCCCAAAAATTTTTATTCATGTCACTCCCAAAACTTTGTGGTGTGCATGTGCGCAATAAGTTAATATTAACTTCAGGTGGATTAAATATGCACACTGATTTCATTTGACATTCCAACTATTTCTATCTGCTCTGCATTATTAATAAAGATGGGATCAGGATCCCAAGGCTCGGCTGGATCTCTGAGCTGACCCCCATATGACAGTCCTGAACAGAACGAGAACGAATGGGATAGAGATGGAGATGGGGAGGTGGCGGGATTGAAAGGACTGAATTGAACATAACTTTAGAACTTTTTTTTACAGAGTAACATATTTGATTTGTGTGAATTTATAATTATTAAAAACATATTATACTCAGCATACTTTACTGAAATGCTTGCCTGCTATGCGATAGTCAAGATGTACCATTACAGTTCATTTATTGTCCTTTGTCTCTGATCTCTTGTAAAAGCAAGCAGAAAGACCAGCTTCAAATTGCACATAATGTAAGAAGCCTGAGGCTCTTGCTAATTAATGAACTTCTAAACTAAACGGAGAGGTTTCAACTAAATGACTTTGTAATTTATATGTCTGATTTACGTTAGACTCTAATTGTATTAGTATAAGGTGAGGTAGGCGATTCTGCCCTAATTCATTCTGTAATATAGTTATACTGGAGTTTGACTCTTGGGATGACGGTGTTTTCTGTCCCTCCAGCTACAGATCAAAGTGAACGGACAGAGAGGAGGACTGGGAATTTGTATTGCAGGAGGGAAAGGCTCCTTGCCGTACAAAGAGAATGATGAGGTAGGCCTTATCTTCCTGTAGCTCCACCGCCTGAATCTCATTACACACTATTACTATCATACTCCTGTGGGTCTACTTACACTAAAATATCCACATGGACTGGGGTACTAATGTGCATCCAGCCAGCAATTCGACTGAGGATGTGAGTGTGCCTGATTTCCTTCCCCCATAACTAGTCATTTCCTTCTGGGCACTGATTGAATTGTTTTCTTCGTGTTAGGGTATTTTCATCTCCAGAGTGTCTAAAGGCGGACCGGCCGAGAAGGCCGGGGTTCATGTTGGGGACAGAGTGTTGGAGGTAAAATCAGGGATCGTAATGTACATGTACTGTTTAAAAATACATTGATTTAATGACTGATTGGGAAGCATGGTTACGACTGGGAGAGAGAGAGACAGAAAGAGAGGTAACACTTTATTTTGATAGTCCACTTTAGACATTCAACTATAAATAACTTTGCAACTATATGTCAACTAGCAGTCATTAGAGTATTAGTAGACTGTCTGCTTAATATCTACTAACATTTTATTTTGATGGTCGCTCAACAGACGTTCTACTGACTATAAGTAACTTTGCAAGTACAGCAACTTATTCTACTAACCCTAACCTAACAGTCTACAAATGCTCTAAGTAAGGGATAATGTACATCCAGCCGGTTGTTATCTCAGAATAAACCCCGACAGGGTGCTCAGGACTTGTATCAGCCTGAAGGGGTTTATTTTAAGATAACAACCGGCTGGATGTACATTACACGGCTAAAAAGATTTGTTTTTACCATATATGTTGAAATTAATGCTGAAGTCTTCCATTGTAACACGCGGTGGTTAAGTGTTTTCAGTCACAAGATGGCGCCAGACAGTCAACGATATTGGAGTGACTCGTTAAGCATATAAGTAGTACCTGTCAAGATAACTCGTAGTACCCGGATGAGCGGTGTGTTATTCAATTTGGCGGTTGTTATCTGGGAATAACATACCGCTGGATGGCGCGATTGACCAATCAGAATCAAGTATTCCACAGAGCCGTGTAATAATGAGAGTTAGTTGACATGTAGTAGCAAAGTTATTTATAGTTGAATGTCTAAAGTGGACTATCAAAATAAAGTGTAACCAGAGAGGGTGAATTTACCAATGGCTTGCTTATAGTTGACGCTGTATATTAAACTAAAACAAAAGAAAGTATTTTAAATGTCCATTCCACACTTCATGTCATCACTGGAGCGTTGGTTACATTTAGTTCACTGGTTTTATTTCAGGTCCCAAATTTCACAAGCAACCGAACTCAATTCTAAAACAGTTCACCATACAAAATTAATGATTCAAAAACAACAGCAAAAATAAGTACTAGCCTACCTAAACAGTCAATAATAAAATAAGAAACAAAAAAACTAATTACAAGAAATAGTACAAATAAATACATTAGATCAAAGACACAAAATATATATATATTTTTTAATATTTGTTTTAATGATGTTGCCAATAGTTAATCTTACCACACTTTATGGTTAGCACAAACCAAGTTAATCATTGCAAGTAGAGCTGGCATGTACATAATTTGGTTAGATTCTACCAAGTGACACATGAATTTGAGCATTGTACTGGATATGCTTTTGTCCTGCTGCGTGACCTTATCAGAATGGTTGTAGTTGTTTCTCTGATGACCATTGGAGGGCATCATCACACAGATGCTGATGAAAAGTTTGTAGTGACCCCATGAACTTTTAACCAACGGGGGAAAGTATTTGGACATGCAAGTCACACCTAAAATTGTGTGTCATTGCATTAGGTAAAATGTTGAGGCATGTTGTAGAAAGATGGCACAAGTAAATTTTTCAAACAAAATATTTCACAAAAAGACGTTTTTGTTACATGTCAGTTTGTGGCTGACATGTTTAAGTATTTTCTGTTATCCTAAGTTTATATGCAGTGACAGCTAGAAGTCATAAGCCATTCATAGGTTTATTTCCCTTAAAAGTGTTAATGATGTGGCTCTGTGGTGCTTTCAACACACAATCCCAAACCTTACATGATTTATTCGCCATTTGAATAACCGTGGGAAGGAAACGTTATATACACTGAACAAAATTATAAACGCAACACTTTTGTTTTTGCCCCCATTTTTCATATGAAAAATGGGGGCAAAAACTTTGTTCAGTATAATTATCAATTTCTAATGTTTTAATTAAATTGTAATCACATTAAGTACAAATGCAGTCCCATTAAACATATTTTACTAGCCTACATGACACCCATGTCTGGTTCTTGCCTAAAAAGACAGGTTTATGATGTTTGTATTTAATAGATTTGGCTGCTTTTAGCCTTACCCTGGAGTTGGTTCACCCTCTGCCTATGAATGTGACCCTTTGACAGATTCCTCGGATTATTCTGACTCACCCCTCTACCTCAGATGAAGACGTGGAGCCCCTGACGCAGGGCTCAGATGATGGAGATTTTGATTTTGACTTCAGCGACTCGGACAGTCACATCTACTCGGACTGTCTGAACAGCGCTTTCTATCCTCTGTGAAAGATAGAGAAGCACACCAGCTTCAGGTCCTTCATCTCTTTTCATGCTTTTCATTTAGTTTGTCACTTGAAATTAAATGACCCTAATAAACTGTCACTTTCTTATAGCCATTTTTTTGATGTCCCCGAGATAATTATACTTAGTTAAGAGCATGTGGTTATTAGCATGAGGCTTTATTCATCCGCAGACGTAAACATGCTAAATAGATCTCAGATTTGCATGGAAGCGCTAACAGTAGGCTACATAATTGATCAGCATACGCACTGAGGTGTGATTCATTATATTTACACAACCCAACAGCACAAATAGTCACTGTCACCTGAAACTGAAAAACCGAGATGAACAGAGAACTTAATTTAACCGTAGATTTCTATCAGGTAGCTGCCAGACTCCAGTCAATTTTGCAGATAATTGTTTGTGCATTACAAAGATAGCAAATGTGTTCTTTTTTTTTTTTTTTGCCAGAAAATAAGTTCTTGGACAAGGCTTTAATACCCTTTCTCTCTTTGTGAATTCAGATGTGCCTGTGTCCTCTGGTTAAGTGAAATTGTTCTGGCTGTGGTCCACAATTGCTGGAGCAGAAACTGAGTGACGTGGGATCGATACTTCAGGCAAAGTCCACAGTCCCATGATGCTTGCATACCTAAAAAAACTGAACTGTTTAGTACACCATTGTGTGAAAGAGATACAGAGAAAGCGGAAAGTAAATAGATAATATTTTTCTAAAATGTTGCTTCTTTAAATTTGACATGCTCTTAAATAACCTTACTTGCTTTGTGAATGCTTTATTTAAGTGTTTTACTTGTATCATTTATCAGTTGCCAAAAGTGAAATAAACTTGAAAAATGTCATTGTGCAGGTGTGGTGTGTATTTGTATGAATAATATCTCTGAAGCGTAGTGCTGTTGTGAATATTTTGACGTGGATATCCAACCTAGCAGCACAGGAGGCACCTGAACCACTGTGAAGGTAATGGAAATTTGATTTGTTCTATGATGGTAAATTTAGCAGATACTGACATCAAGTAAGCGGTTTATTTGTATCCATGTTTAAAACTAAAAGAAAGAATAAGACCTCACATCCTACTTATATGAATACAGGGGGAAACTCATTTATAGATCTTTTCTGAAACAGTAAGTAACAGATGCAGTAAGTGAGGTTCCCTCAATGAGGTTTTAAAACAAAACAAAAAAGGGAGGCAGTGCTTTTATTTACTATGTTTTTTTTCTTAGTAACATTCAACAATATTATTTTACACTCTTGTAAAGGTGATCCCAAATATGATTCCTATCATTTTTAGCATTACTAACACTAAAACCATAAAAAAACTTTTCCTTACTTGAAATAATAATAATGATAATATATATATACACTGTATATTGTAATGTGTATATATACTGTATATATAATGTATATATACTGTAAAATCGAATGATATATTGTAACAAAACGTACTCGGTTACTTTCGTAACCTCGGTTCCCTGAGATATGGGAACGAGTACAGCGTCGCTAGACGCTTACGGGGAAAAATCCTTTTTCTCCGAGGACTGAAGACTTATTCAATCACGCAGTGTAACTGCACGGGCATTGGTTCGTGCAGTGATTATAAAACGAACTAATGGCTTGGCAGCGGTGCTGCACGAGCCTATGGCGGTGAAGCCTGCCAGAATGGGCGTGGCCATCTGGTTATATAAGCGGGCATTTCGCCCTAGGATCTCAGGTCAATTCGACTGAAGCGATGACACAGAGTCGTGCAGCGTCATGGCATGGCAAGGAACGCAGTACTCGTTCCCGTATCTCAGGGAACCAAGGTTACGAAAGTAACCGAGTACATTCCTTATTGATACTTCACTCGTACTCGTACACATTCAGCGTCGCTTGACGCTTATGGGGAACCAATACAATCCCGCCGTGCCATGAGAGAGGAATGACTGATATGAACTGGCCTTGAGTGAAAAAAGGCTCAGAGGGACCAATTATGCGCAGGGTGAGCCCTGCAGGAGGCAAGAGGGCTGAACTCATCGAGGTCAGCCCAGCCTTCAGATAATCTTTCCAACGGTCGTATGTACAGCCTCAGCGCTAGTAATAGGGCCAAGAGCGTTCCTGAAGAGTCAGGCAGAGCCTGGCGTGTGCCACTTTAAGCAGATAAAATCCGGGCCTGCAAGGCCGGAATATCCAAGTTATGGAACCTGGCAAAGGTGGACGGCGAGGCCCAGCCGGCCGCCGCACAGATGTCTGCTATGGACACACCACTAGACCACGCCCAGGAAGAGGCCACGCCTTGAGTGGAATGTGCTCTCACTCCTATGGGACTCTGAAGGCCCAGGGAGGAGTAAGCTAGTGTGATAGCGTCAACTAACCATCGAGAGATCCTCTGCTTTGTGACCAGGGACCCTTTGATGCGGCCGCCAAAGCATACGAAGAGTTGTTCCGACTGCCTGAAGGGGGTGGAACGCTCTATGTAAATTCTCAATGCCCTAACTGGGCAGAGAAGGTTAAACTTCTGGTCCTCCTCAGAAGGAGGAAGCGCAGAGAGAGTAATAACCTGGACTCTAAACGGCGTGTAGAGCACTTTAGGGACATACCCATGTCTTGGCTTTAGGACGACTTTGGAGTCGTTAGGCCCACACTCAAGACAGACCCGGGCTTATCGAGAGAGCCTGCAAGTCACCTACTCGCTTAACCGATGCTAGCG